ACTGTGATGTGTCGATTAAAACACCCAGGTTCAGTGGCTAAAACGGTGCTGGGAAACACTGTGATGTTTCAGTGAGAACACCCATGTTCAGTAGCTCAAACGCCACAATGTGTTGGTAAAAACCATCCAGATTCAGTGCCACAAATACTGCCGAGAAATGCCGCAGTGTGTTGGTGAGAGACACCCAGGTTTGGTGGCTCAAAAGCAGCATGGTGTTGGTAAAAAATACCAAGCTCCAATACCACAAACACCACTGGGAAACACTAGAATGTGTCGGTGAAAAACCTTGAGATTCAGTGGCTCTGACACAACTGGGAAATGCTACAATGTGCCATCAAAACACCCAGGTTCAGTGCCACAAACACTGGTGGAAACACTATGAAGCATTGCCATAAGATAACCTGTGTGGTTGTTTGTTGGTTTCAAACAGTGGTCTACAGAAGCATCTTGCTTAGTTGACGTCATTCACCATCTCCTACAATGCCAACATTTTCTTCTAGCGACTGGGCTGGTCAAGTGCTTGTCAAGTTCTCTAAATATGTAAGAAAGGTGCTTCAATGCTTTCTTTCTTCTCCTTTAGCACAAGGTACACTGGACCATCCTACAGAAAAGGAAAGGACATAATACTGTCCAAGACCTTGAGGCAGCAACATTTAAAGTGACCTGCGTCAATAACATCTGCCGTCACATAGTTACGTAGCCTACTGTAAGGGCAGATGGATTCTCCTTCACATCTTACATTGATCTCATGGCGTATTCTATTGAGGTCAAGGAAGAGTGCTTAGAAAAAAGACATAGAACGTAATTGTTTTACTACCTGAACCGCAGCCTCAAAGTCTCACACAGTATAAAAACCACTGTTAACTTGATGCTGTTGATGCTTTTTTTGGGATTAATTTTGTGTTCTTGCTTTATTTGATCGGAGGGGTCATCCAGATCTCAAAGAATTCATACTTTTTTATGATTAATTAGAATGAATTAATTAGTTGCCAGTCATCTTGGTCAATAAGGCTGCATTATGTTTACAGACCAGTACTTTAATGGGGTCAACAAACTTTTACCAAAAACATGGAAACTTTTCAGAAACTGAGAAAAAGTTACACACCTGATGAGTGGCTTTAATGAAATCAACATTTTTTAAGCTTTAAGACTTTAACAACATGTATGGGAAATAAACCTGCACATAGTAATAATGGATTGTGTAATGTGAAGGTGAACATGATAATAAAAATTATGCTGCAGGGTACAGAGCGTTTTAGCTTCTTTTAGCTTACTGTTTTGGTTTTACTGCACATTTAGTGTATGGTTCAGTCTCACCAAACTCCTCTCTAGCAGCAAATAAGCTTTGATAAACCCGCTGTTCACTATCTGTCCACCACCAACAGACAGACAAAGTTAGCAACTAGCTGGCGACATGAGTGGAATATCCAGTAGCTAAAATGCCAGACATTTTTCTCAGGAGTTGGTGGAGACCAAAACAGAGCTAAAAAGATAAAAGGAGGGAGTGAACATTGGACTTAGATTTATCAGAAGCACTCAAACCTCTAATGGGATGAAAATGCATAACAACTTTGTAAGGTGATACTATGTCAATGCTGCATTTTCAGCTTGTTCTGCTGCCCCCAAGTGGTAAAAAAACAAACAGTTTCAGTCACTGCTGCTTTAACTACTGTATCTCTAAAATCTAAAGGCCCAGACACCCTGAACTACGGCCAAGAACTAGAGGCAACAAAGGCCGACTGTCGCACACCTCACGATGCCTGTGTCTTGATCAAAAAGTTGTACTTGAACACACCACCAAGACCACAGCCAATGGCCAACTAGAACGTATGCTCTGTGCCTGTGTGAGAAGAAATAACTCTCCATACCAGCTGGTGGCAGTCTGTATTAGTGGCCCAAAAAGGGAAAGTGGAAGATCAAAAGGACGGATTCAAGACGTTAGTTAGCCAATTAGCATATTAACAACACAACCCGATGTCCAAAGAACAAATGATATTTACTCTGCACTAGTGATCAGTAACACAATAACAAACCTTTTCTGCTAAAGAGCCCTCTTGATTTTATTTTTTTGTTTACTTTCCTCACTTCTGTTTCTCTTCTCGTGCACTGAGCTGAACTGCCAATCAGAGTTATTTCACTCCTTGGTGGGCTAAGCCAGACCCGTCACTGATTCAACATGCTTAATCAGCAGAGAAACAGCCGACAAGGAGCTACTAGTGGCAACGACATGGGACATACCACAAAAACTATGGCGACAGACGTTCCTTGATGACCCAACATTAACCAACAGTTTGGTGTTTCAGGGCCCTTAGTCTTAAAGATACAATTCTACTGAAATACCACTTGCTTAACTGTTCACAGGACTTTCTTAATGAATTAATTTGGAGCAAAGGAAGCAAACATAATAAAAATAAAACATGTGGTAAGAGGATTAAACTAAGCTGCTTCTGTACAGCAAGTGTTTAGAAATATGTAACCTGTACATTATGATTCAATAATTTTTTTAAGACCAACATGAAAAACAAAAATGGCAGATAACAAGCTGAAATAAGCAAATAAAACAAAACCTATGATACAGCATTTCTGGGGATCTCACAGCAGTTATGCTGCTTAGTATCTGGGAGAGAAGGTTATAATGTGAGCCAGCTCTTTATGTCTTTACCGTCAGCAAATTCATATTTTAATTAAACTAAAATCAAACAGCAGTGATTGTTAAATATGGCACTGAGATCAAATGTTGGCAGGTGACAAAAAGCCCCACACAAAATAAAAACATTTTTCTACTTGTGAAGGCAGTTTTTCTCTGTGTGAATGAGGTTCAGGTTTGTCGAAAACAAACGCTTGTTTGTGGTGTTTCCTTTTTTTATTTGGCACACTGGTAGATTAAATACAGGTGACAATGAGCTAAAGCCAAAGCTCTACAACACTTTAACCTCAGATTTTTTTTTTTTGTTGATAAATCCAGCGAGCACAATACTGAAAATATTACTGATAAAAAAGTAATTTAGTCAAATGCTAACATTCTAAATGTTACAATGTGTTTTGCCATTAATAAGTCACACTTACAGTATACTAAACATGACTGCAGACCCATTTGGCAGCCCCTGGTTTCAGTACACTTTGAAAACCAACCTGCAGTAATCCTTCTATTATGCAGCTGTGAGTTGGGACTGCTATGTAACACCTCCCTTTGGCTCACTAAAGGACAGAATAAGGATTTAGCTGCCAGCAGGTGGCAAGCAAAAAGATCATTTCCCTTGTTTCTGGTGCACCTCAACTGGGCTCAAGATTTTTTTTATGAAGTAAGGCAGATCAAGGTATTACACTATGAAAGGAAAACTGTTGAGTTGCACTACAAACAAAGAGATCACATCGGACTTTAAGCTTTAAGATTTTTGACATTTTAATGACTAGGATTTTTTTTTTTGCAAATTTAAATCAACTGGCTTCTAAAGACGAATGTTGCACATTGTGCTCAAGCGTAGCATCATGGTACAAAACTGAACTCAGTAGAATTTTGTTTCAGTATGCTGTGATTTCATAAGGTTTTCTGTTCGTCCATCTATCCATCCATTATCTGTCACCACTTATCCTTTACAGGGTCGCGGGGGGCACTGAAGCCGATCCCAGTGGACACTGACCAAGAGGTGGGGTACACCCTGGACAAGTTGCCAGGCTATCACAGGGATGACACAAAAGCCCCGTTTCCACCGAGCAGTACGGTTCAGTTCAGATCGATACGCTTTTTTCTCCGTTTCCACTATGAAAAGTTGTGGATGGTACCAAAGGAACCGTCCCCATTTTTGGACACCCCTCTGTTGGGGTACCTAGCACACAGATCTGGTACTAAAAGGTGGAGCTGTGAACACTGCAGTCTGTTGATTGGTCAATAGAGGACGGTCACTCTGCTCAGGGTTGAGTTGTGGCTGGTTTTGAGGCTCATGTAACCACTGTTCATACCGTGGAGAGTTTCATTAGTAAACTGCAACTATAAAATAAAAGGATGTTTTGCTGCCTCTTGCAGCAGCTGGAGTCGGAGAGAAAAATAACTTGGAGGGAAAAAAAAAGCCTTGCGGAGTGTCGCTCCTGTGGGCTCTGCAACACTAAACCCTCAAGCTTGCTTGAGAAGGACTAAATGCACAAATTTCCCATGGAGAGAGACTCTCACTGCAGCCTGTTCTATTTCGTTCAGAAAATGTCAGCGTGCAGCCTCATTCTGTGGACGATAAACAAGGTGTAGACTTCCATCTGTGTCACTGATAATGAGGAAATACAGTGAGTGCTGGATGGAGCAGTGAGTGACAACAACCCCGCCCACATTTAAGAATACTGTTTGCAGTGGAAACACTAGGGTGTAGGTACCATGTCTGAAGGGTTACTTTTGGATCCAAAGGTACCAAACCAAAAGAGTTTGGTGGAAATGGGGCTTTAGAGACAGACAACGATTCACGCTCATATTCACACATGAGGGCAATTTAAAGTCCCAAATCGACCTAACCTGCATGTCTTTGGACTGTGCGAGGAAGCCCAACCACCCATAGAAAACCCACACCAACATGGGGAGAACATGCAAACTCCAGACATAAGGACCCAGGACGAACAGTAGGTTTAAACCCAGAAACCTCTTGCAGTGAGGCAACAATACTAACCACTCTCTGGTTTTCTGCACAGCAACTGTTAAATGGTCCGGTACGCAATGAAAAAACAATAAAGTCTTAAGCAACAAAACACAACAACTTGGTCCACAGTTACTTCAAGTGTTGAAACAAAAAAAGTCTTCATAACAACTTTTACTATACTTCTTCAAGAGTTTATAATAGTGTATTTTCTTCATTTTGTTAATTAATTGGTAATTTTTGGGTTAATTTGACAACCAAGCTTAAGAGCACTACAGCAATGAAAAAACAAACAAACCGACCAACAAATCTTGACGAACATGAAAAGAAAAAAAAAACTGTGTGAGATGTGAAGGATATGACAAAAAATTGACAATAATAATCTATGTTTTACATTTCTTTTAATATAAATAATTGGTCACTTTATATTCTAACAACATTGGTCACGTATGGGGCCTTGAAGCGATATTTCACTTTGTCCGATTATCTGTTATAAAGAGATGAGAGAGCCACAGCTGCTCTGAAAAGCTAACATCACCCCGCAATAAGCGTAATGATGTTGATTAGAAATAATCATCCTCCCCCCTCATACAATCATTTATGTTGACTTATATACCATTTTACTATTATTTCATGTTCTGTAAATGTTAGCTAATCAGAGTAACACTGCTTCCCCAGAGCAGCTGATATATTTAGCTGACTTATCTCAAACTCCCACAGAGATCAAAGTCTGTTCTGCATCAGTGGAATAACGCTTTAAAAGCCAAGGCAGTAGATCAGTTTGGAACAATATCTCTATCCTGGTCAAGGACACTCTATTCATGACATACAGTTTTTTTTGTTTCTCCGCTTCACATTTGCCATGCTGTACCCATATTCATCACCTACAGTATGAATGGTATATTACCTGCAGGTCTGACGCCATCATGGAGGTCTAATGGAAGAGTTAGCTGTGCAAACGCAAAGTATAAATAACAGGGCTGCAAACAGACAGCAGTTGTGTGTCCAAGTATCCAAACAATGCTATTTCTGATCAATCATATGGCAGTCCTGTAGCACAGCAGGGTGTGACATTAGCTAAACGAACCACATGCTATTGTTCTGGCATCAAAAGTCAGATAGAAACAGAGAATTCAAAGAAAACTTGAATCATCGGCATAGAAAGCAACAACTTAACGGCCACACCCACCTAGTTCGTAGCTAGCCTGGATAAGATGCTGGTAGTGAGGTGAGAAGACTGATAATTTTTTCTCTTTTTAATGTCTTCCCATATCTGATACTGCAAAAATAATTTTACTCTGAAACACTCATCAGATGCTTTTGGTAACCCTTCGAAACGTGGAACAACATCACTTTTCTTTTGCTGCTCTAGATGCCTTACAGAAGTATTTAAACATTTGAGCTCCAAGCAAATTGGTGCAATTTCTTTCAAAAACATGGGAAAAAGACAGTAAGCAACTTGGTAAGAAATGTTCCACAAGTTGCAAAAAATTAATAGATTTAGAAAATTATTTTTAAAAAAAGGGAAAAACTACATTTATAATTATCATTGTTGTATATTTTATTATTTAATTAAAATTATGTTACAGAATTATTATAATTTTTAAGCTTTTTTTCCAGGTAATTTCCTTGTGTCTTTCTTGTTTCCTTTATTTTATTTCATTTTTTACTAATTTTCTCTTTTTTACTAAATTCTTGCTAATTTTTTTGGTCATTTCTTCTGTCATCGCTCATTGCCTTCTTCTCAGGTTTTTAAAAGGAACCAAGCCTATTTGCTCAAGGTTTTAAAGGGTTAATTAAGCATGATGCTTGTAGCCACTGCAAACACTGTCAGGCACCATGGATGTATAAAGAAAAGTGGATATAGAGTCACAGGTGGGGTCCAGTTAATTTGTGCATGAAGCCAAAAAAGTTTGACTTTAGTGTGTAAAATTACCCAAATCTTACACTGTGCTTCTGCATTGCTGGGCCCATAAAGCAGCCGCACTATAGACTTCCATTTTAGCGCTCTGCTAACTTGATTCGGGATAAAATTATTTATTCGTATGGCCCCTCTGCCATGCTTTCAGACTGAAAGGACCAAATCCCAATAATGAAAGGAGTCATTTTGCGCAGGTTGTGATTCTCCAAAAAAAGAAATGTATCCACTGATTTACAGGAATCACTTTCCCAATGTGAGTCTATTGGAAGAAGTCTTTTTGGGCCCACATGATGAACTCAGAAGTTGTAATTCTACGGTTTGGCCACAATGTAAAATTGGCTTCAGAGCCCGGCGCTGCTCCTAGGAGCTTGCCAAAAATGAAACCCTATGTTAGCTAGTTTCTGTCTAGCTTCGTCAGCTGTTAATCAGATGTGCAAACAGGAAGTCAATGAAGCCATAGATGTATGATAAAAACTAGATACCGCACGCCAAGATTGTGCCTATTCATTCCAATAGCACTTGCCTGGCACATACGCCAAAAAAAGTTTCTACCTCCCTGGTTTAACTCCAAGGTATGCGGCCCACTGAAAACGCACAGTAGTGCCAGTTCTCCCACTGGCTCTGCGAGTTCCCTCTTGGCTCAAAGACTTTACATTGTGATGATGTCACAGATTTTTAAATTGCTTTTCTTCTCAGCTCAAGAAAAGTTTTACAAATATAAAACCTCCATGGATCAAAAATTCAAAATAGAAGGAGTCATATTTGACCTTGTTTGCAGTCAGATGTCTCTTTTATAATGGTGGTCTATGTGTTAAGTGCTTTTTTGGCCACAGGGTTTTTTTTTTTCTTAGCAATACCACGAGTGAGACCACTGGGAGACAGAAGCAGAGTTCCTGCAGTTAACTGAGCTTGTCGTATTAACATTTATTTCAAGGTTGCTTTACAAATGAGCCAACACAAATATATTCAGAGTACTGATCCAAAATATGAATTCATAATACTGCCATACATAATAATCACCAGCAAGTGGCCAGAAGCAGAACAATCTACTCTGATTGTTTGCTTATGAGAAATAACACACCACTGAGGCTGTTTAACCCCTTTAGCTTTGTGTTGGAGGTATCTCTATGTAGTGTATTTTTATTTACTGTTACTGATATGAAGTGTTACACAAGCCCAGTATTTATCTGCACAGCTCATTATGGATTAAGCTGTTATTACATACCCTAAAGCTATAGAGGCTAACAAGCTGACATGAGCTTAACAAATGCCAATGTCAAGCCAAAAAGCACACTAAACAGCGGCAAAGTGCGGCTGAATGCAATAATTACAAGACAAGACTTACTAGCTGCAATTCGTCGCTTAAAGTTAAACTATCCCCAACTTTTAGTTTGGCTGTGCTCGGCTTTCCATGTCGATTGCTTGGCAGCTCGGCCCAGGCCTCACTTCGTCAGTGCTTGGTGTGTTTTTGGCATCAATCAGGTGTCAAAGACTTCTGACATGACACCACAGCCAACTATATTAAACACAGTTTGGTGCATTTTAAGCAAATGCCCAGAAAAAAACTGCTTGTGGCTAATATGGGTACAGCATCAAAGTGTGAAGCAGGAATAAAAATAAAACAAAACCACACAGCTGCTCACCCTGGTCCAGGAGGAAAAGTTTCAGGAGAGGACCATGACTTCATTTACACATATATACAGCCTGATGCTAAATTCTCTGTGGCCCAGTCATCAAGTGACACCTTAAACAGGAGGCAAAACCTTTGCCCTGTTACCAAGTGATGAACTGATTAGACATCTAAGAGTTCAGATTAAAGTTTCCAACATCTTTCTGCCTGTTTAGATCCATTAAACTCATTTAAACCACTTGTGAGCAGACAGACTGGGAGTGTGCAGAGCTTAATTCCCAGACTGCAAGTTCTAGACGAGGCACATTATGTGTCTGACAGTGATTAAACTGTCCCCTCCTGTTTTAATTTCCACCCAAACAGAGCTCAAAGGCAGACAGGCTGAGGACTGTATTACCTTGGATATCCACTAGAGGGAGACAGGGTTGTTTCATTGCCAGGGTGGCAGACAGTTTGGGAGGAAGAATAAAGGACAGGAGACAAAGAAAAGAGGAGCAGAGGATGGTGTGTCTTAGAGAGGAAAGAATATGGAAAAAACATGCAATCAAAGATGGCAGAAGGAGAAGGTAAAAGAAGGAGGGTATGTGGCAAGTAGAAAGGACAGACAACAGAGGAGTGCTGACTGGTCATTTCCTTCTTGATCTAGCATGCACATTTCTTCTCGTTCGGCTGAGCATCGCCAAGCTTCGTGGCGCCGTTCCCATTGGCTGGTTCAGCGGGTGGTTTTTCGACGCACTGCTCCATCCTCTTCATGACCAGGTCCAACAGCGTTATCACCGCCTTGTCCACCTCTGCTCCTGTCGCTGCACTAGTCTCGAAGTACGGGATCCTGAGGACGATAAGACGTAATATTTCTTTAAAAGATGGTTTAAAGGCACAATTCATACTCCTAAACAGTCATAAAAACAAACCGACATGGAGGCACGGTGGTACAGGTGTTAGCATTGTCGCCTCACAGCAAGAGGGTTCCTGGTTTGAACCTGGTGGGGTGTTTCAACCTTGGGGTTTACATGTCCTCCCCATGTCAGCGTGGGTTTTCTCCAGGTACTCCAGCTTCCTCCCACAGTCCAACGACATGCAGGTTAATTGGTGACTCTAAATTGGCCGTAGGTGCGAATGTGAGTGTGAATGGTTGTCTGTCTGTATGTGTCAGCCTTGTGATAGTCTGGCGACCTGTCCAGGGTGTACCCCGCCTCTCGCCCAGTGACAGCTAAGCTAAAATAAGCTAAGCTGAGGTAGCCAACTGAGCTACGACCGATATCTCCAACACTTGGCAACTCACACCAAAATAATCTAGATGGACTAATAGCACCACAGGTAAGAGGACAAATACGTTGTTTTTTTTTTTAAATTTGGGGGTGAACTGTCCCTTTAAGGAGCTACTGCAAACTTTAACTTGTATTTTGATCTGTAAACTAAAGAAAAATCATTTCCTGGTGTCAATCCAGCCACTTAAGACCGCAGTCTGATGTTGCCTGGCAACAGAATCCTGTTCCAGGAAGTAATAAACTCTGTCTTAAACTCAGGGGAACTTAAAAATAATCAGGGGCTGAGGGACACTCTGAACATCAGATACTGGAAGAGAAAAGTTCAATTTTATATGTATCTACAGATTACATACGTTTAGTGTTATTTCCACATCCATCATACTGAACACATCAAACACAGGAGGTGAAATATTGAACTGTATGCATAATTATTTTAACTATGTTTTATCTAAAACAACTGCGTGTTGTTTGTGTGTGTTCATGGCGAAACATGAGACTCTGATCTTCAGAATAAAAGGTGTCGGGGATAGACAGGAAAGGCCGTGTAATTTATTCACTGTTGTTTCTGTGGTTTAATTTAATGAGCAGCAATGCAATACTGCTTTCTTTTTTTCAAATTATGAGCCAGATGCACAGTCACTAAAACTTCAAAACATCCCCCTAACCTTTAGATGGATTCATCAATCTATGCTCCCGGTTTCCACATCTGTGTGTGTTTGTTTCCCAGACAGGCTCCATAAGCAATTGGTGCACTTTGCAATAATTATGTAGCTTTGACAAAATAATAAATGTCTATTATTGCTGACTGTTATGCACAGATATATCTACATAAATTACAATAATACTTTCAGTGAAATGAACTGAAATCAATCAAAAACGGATGGGATTAATTTTAAAAACGCAGAAGGCAGAAGGCCCGAATGCACTGAATGCGTCTGATGCACGCTTGTTGTTTTGTTGTTTTTGTTCCTTGTTGTCATTTAAGTTTTTATTGAAGCAACAGCACAGACTAAACAGCGCAAGGTGTAAACATTATGTGTGCCCTCTTCATCTGAGCTGTAACGTTAACTAGCCCAGTGGTGCTAGGTGAGCTAGCAGTAGATACACGCTTCCTTCTGTGAGGTGATATCATTGGCAGGGGTGTAGTTCGGTAGAAAGAAAAAGTCCTACATGAAACTGCTCACAAAAAGGGTTTGGAATATCTTCGTTAACTGGATTGTGAGTGCTGGAAAGAGACATTGCTGTTGAGTTTTCAAATGTATTTTTTGGCGCTTTGATTGGTGAGAAGGCAGACAGCTCTACGACCGATATCTCCAACACTCAGCCACTCACACCAAAACAGTCTAGACTGATAAATAGCACAACAGCTGCATCAAATACTGTAGATGAAAAACAAACTTACCCATATTTATCAGCCAGCTCCTTGGCCTGTTTCTCCTGGACCTCCCTCTGGTCGGCCAGGTCCGCCTTGTTTCCTACCAACACAATATCTGGATTCTCGCAGTAGGCATTGGCCTGTAGCTGGCCTGGAAGTAAGAACAAATAAACAACAAATGAAATAAAAACGTCAATGTCCCCTTTTGACCACTGTTGGCGCTGCAGAGTAATGTTTTCATGGAGAAATCAGAAGCAGACCTCAAGCTGAAACAGTTCAGATTTCTAAACATAAAGAAAACGTAATGTGAGCAACATACTCATCCAGTTTCTGACATTGAGGAAGCTCTGCTGGCTGGTGAGATCAAACATCAGCAGGAACCCCATGGCATCCCTGAAGAACGCCGTTGTCAGGCTGCGGAACCTGGAACATACACACACACACCAGAAGAAATATAAATATCACATCTGAGATTTGAAGTCAGAGCTGAAATGTCTGAAGCTGCAGTTCCTGTGCTGCGAGGGAAACTCAGACAATACAGGAGTAGGTTGAAAAAACAAAACAGTTTCTCTGATGAGATATTAAATAAATGTATTATTTCATGTGTATTTAATTTGACTTCTTCTAATGTTTGTCTTGGTGGTGATTTTTAAAATTCAGCATGAAGATATTAAGGTAGCAAACAATGGTATGTTTGTTTGGATGTATGCTTGATTGACAGGTCTCTCAGCCGCTGTTACTTAACCCCCCCAAAATGAACATTGATATATAAATAATTCACCCTGTTACACTGAATTTGTGAAGAAAATTTTGTTTTTCTCACATTCAACTGAAATGAACTAAAAGTTAAACTTATCTCTGCTCTTTTCAAAGCCAGACTCCATTGACGAAAACAGTAATTTTACCTCACAGAACATGGGAGCTGCTCTACTGCTGCCTCAATCAGTCAGTTTTTTTGTATTATTACGTGACTTTAGTGAATCTGAACTAACCATCTAAAACACCAAAGTCACAAAATAACTGCTGATCACAGCAATGGTGTTCCAGCAACTTCCATGATCAGTGAGGTAAAATTACTGTTTTTGTCATTGGAGTCTGGCTTTGAAGAGAGCATTTAGGTCAGTTACCCATCAGAAAGGGCTGTCTGTTTGGGAAGTACTGAGCATATAACTGGATAAATGAGACTTGGATTATACTGCACGAGTTGTGTGAGATTGTAAACAGATGTTTTGAGATAGTTTTGTTATGTTTTTTTCTTTTTAAAGATTTTTTTGGGGGGCATTTTAGCCTTTCATTGACAGGACAGACAAGTGTGAAGGGGGAGAGAGAGGGGGAGTGGCATGCAGGAAATGGCCACAGGCTGGAGTCGAACCCAGGCCCCTGCAGCAACAGCCTTGTACATGGGGCGCCTGCTCTAGCCACTAAGCCACCGGCGGAGGGGCTGTTGATGACTTGTGGGAGGAGCTGTTGATGACGCCGCACGTGTGACCCACTGGCGGTGGACAAACAGGAAACAGCTGATAGCAGGAATTAGCGAGCAGCTAGTAGCAAGAGGGAAATACAAACCTGACAGACACTGTAAAGATGAGCAACTGGGGAGACAAGGAATTGCGCGCCCTCCTTGCCCTCGCAATGTAAGAGGCCATTAACCATCAGATGACGGGACGGTGAAGAACGGGCCGACTTATGAGAGAATCGCTGAAGGACTGACCAGCCGCGGCTTCCCTCCCACATCACTGTTTACGTCACACGCTGAGTTACACGTTTTGTTAGTTGCTCACGTCCCCCATTGCCCCGAAAAAGGCGCATTCTGTATAAACAAAATTAGGTAGGTGGCATTTTGCTGCACTCCCTGATTTTGTTTTTATACGGCCAATGCTGAAAAAAGACTGATCGGGCTTTCCTGCAAATTTGCACAATTCCTATCGAAAAAGGGCTTTGGTGACACACCCACAAAGAATCATCACCCGACTCTGCAGTTCCTCTCGTCTCTTAACTCATTGTTTTGGTCATCAAGCCTTCAACTTTACATTTCTGATTCAGTCTCATTGTTGTTTCTAGCTTCTTTTTTTTTTTTTTTTTTCTTTTAGAGAATATGCATTACAGGAACCCACTGTACTCTTCCTGCCCAGCACCAGACAGCAGACAGACAAAGTTAGAGACTAAATGGTGAATATAGAGAAACATTTAGCAGCTAAAGAAACAGATTTTTCTATCAGGAGTTGGTGGAGACCAAAACAGAGCTAAAAGGAGAGTGAATATTGAACTTACATGCATCAGGCAATGCAATGTTGTTCTGTATCTACAGAATGTATAAATATGCAACTGTTTGCGAACAAGTTCAGCATATCAAGTGTCAGTGTTGGGTTTAAAGCTGTTTTCCACCCCCCACAAGTGGCCAAAAAATCTCAGTGCACATTTAAATGTATAAAACCTGGGTAGCCTGATGGCTTAGTGGAAAAAGGGAGGCAATGTCCTTCCCGCGGCAGCCACAGGCTTGATTCCATCTTGTGGCCCTTTGCTGCATGTCATCCCCTCCTTCCCTCCCTCTTTCACACCTTGACTACTTTATCCAATAAAGAAAAAAAGCCAAAATAGAACTGCATAAAAAACTGGGAACCAGACGAATCTGCCAGCTCATGTTTAATTTGCTCTGGCAGGTACATCTGGTCCCATCCAAACCGATTTCCACCTGACCACTGTGGGGGAATAACAGCCATTTATCTAATATGAGGCAGCTTTGATAGACTGACACCTTGTATTAATGTGAAACTGCTTTATTCAGCGCATTCACTGGTTTAAATCACCAAGTCTGTTTGTTTTGTAAAGATAGAAACCTAAGCAGATAATTCAGCTCCTGGCAAACACCTCTCCAACGTCTGGATCTGAAGTTATCAGAGAAAAAAGGTGAGCACACATAGCAGGTGCTGGGCGAGACACCCGTCTGTGATGTGCCAAACAGTCCAGGAGAAACACTGAATTGTAAAGTGAAACTGCCTAATTCGGTGTTTTTTTTTACTGGTTTTAATTACCTGGTCCATTTGTTCTGGAGAGGAGGGGGACTCTGCGGGTAATTTAAATGCCACTAAAAATCTCTTGAACAATGAACAATGGAGGTACTCTAATCGGAAGAAGCTTCGCTGGTTGCAATCTGTAATCCTCACCACTTCATGTCTCTAATTCTTACACGCTGTTTCTTTAATTAATGAAAATCTACAATGGATAAAACAGATGCTGCTGTTTGTATCCACAACAGTTAGTAATGGGACTTCCCCAGTTTGTATGTTCTGTGGCACACTGGGCTTCTGGGTGTGACACCAGCGAGGAACATAACTCTGTGTAAACATTACTTTTAAAGCTTTATCTGCAAATATGTATTACTCAAACAATCAGGACAAAGCAGCCGATATCGGCGGTGTTTCCATAGCAAACAGTCTGACGAGCTGATCACATAGGTGGAATAATGACTGGTTGCTCCATTAGAGGATCACAGGGATCAGTTTATGAAAATAGGGATTGTTCCGTTACACTGGGCTGAAGAAATGAAGTTAAAATTATGTAACTAACACTGACTCATCCTGCCATGAGTCACTGTCAGGCCTTTATAAACAGATTCAACAGATCAAGGCCAGTTCCAATTAGAGACCACACACATGCACACATGATTGACACATGCTGTAAATACAGACAAGGAGGCACGGAGACACGCAAACAAACAATGATATGAATCCGTTGTTTCTCTGACGAACCATTCAGTGTGATTTTCATGCTCGATTTCAACAACGACCTCGATCGTTTTACAATCTTTGTCAAAACGGGATTTGACATTACTGAAATTTAGCGTTCAAGTGAAAGGTATCTTTTCCCTAGATTCAACCAGAATAGCCACAGAGTAACGAGTGACATTTTAAAGCCTGACTGCAGATATGAAATGCAATATTGCCTGTCAATCAATCATTTAGCAGACCTCAAAACATTCTCCCTTTTAAGTTTTCATATCTTCTTCACATCAAGACACACTTTGAAGGAGTTCAGCTTCTCACTCTCAAACTTGCTGGGGAAAAACTTAGTGACTTTGTATTTCTGGGGACACTCAGGGTTTCCCTTTAAAGGAGCACCTCACCCTGCTAATGACCATTGGTTTATCAGTTACTTACCCGCTGTTACGTTGAATTTGTGAAGGACACTTTGCTTATCTCAAGTCTAACTTATCCAGTCGTACACTCACTAATTTTTTTCCAATGGGGAACTGACATGAAAGTGAATCTTTTCGAAGCTCTCTTAGACTTAAACTGTAATTTTACCTCACTGAGAGCTGCTGGGACTGGATATCTGATATGCTAGAAAACTGGAGAAATCTGACATGACTGAGAGCATCAGCCAATGAGAGGCGGGATACGTCCCACGTCAGCACGCAGGAGGACGGAAGGAATGTGAGGAGGACAAGCTGCAGGGTTGTCACTTGCCAGGTCTGCTTATTAGCCGCGACTTTGGGCTTGTTTCTAAAGTGAAGTTGCTTATTTGGGCTTGCTCTCTAAATGTCACCTTTCTCTCTTTATATATCCGTCTAATAAGTTATTTAAACGCATGAAAGTCGCTTCTTTTGGGCTTGTTTCCATAGCCCTGGTTGCTTGTTTCTCTCCCAAGATCTGGCAACACTGACAAGCTGGCCGGCAAGCAACAACAACAATGGCGGCGTCCACAGTGTCACGGGGAGCGGGTTGTGTTTGGACCCAGGATACTAAAGAATATTCATGCCCTTACGATGTGTCGTCTCCAAGTTTAGTGACTTCACCGCATTATCTGGGACTGTTTCCAGTGAAGGAGGAATCCAAAAAGTGAGAACATATTTTGAGAGTTTTCTTCACAAATTCAACGTAATACAGGGTGATTAACTGAAATACAAATGGCCTTTTAGAGGCTGAAGTGTTCCTTTAATGTCAATACAGACAGTCACTTCACCGTTGAACTACTACAACTGCAGTGACCACCACTTCAAAAACATTTATTTGAAATTAAAATAACGTTAAATTTACATTAAACACCAAACTTAACACAAAATTACTGTGAATTCGAAGGCAACGGCTACATTTTGCTACAAAAAAATCCAAACCCATTCAGGAATTATTTCCCTCGTTAAAGTAAAAGCTTCTGACATGTTGGTAGAGAGAACTGTGAGCAGATTTTGAAACAGCAGACTCAGGATAGAGAAGTGTGTAAACTGTAGTTGTCATGTTTAAGAAAAAAAAAACCCAGTCCAGTGTAACGAGCAGCCCACCTCTCCTGTCCAGCTGTGTCCCAGAGCTGAAGGTGAACCTTGAAGGTTTTCCCTGTGGTCGCCCCATTGGGGTTGGACGTTGTGTACACCTGAGGAGACAGAGTCAAAACACAAATTTCAGTCCATCAGATACATGAAATGTGGTGATCTATTAATTTCACCAAAAACATGTTAAAATAAAAAAGACACAACCACCTATTCATTTGAATGACTCCTTTGTTGACAAGCTTAAAGCTCACTTAACTTTGACAGCAGTGCAGAGCTCAAGGCTCCTTTATTCCCAAGGTGACTGCAGCCATTTACCATCAGCTATAATCCACCTCTTACTGTTGCACTTTGCACCTTCCACTACTTGCACTTTTTTTACCTGTTGCACTCCACAAACTTCATGTTTTTACAGGTTATTTAGATAGATGGGAAAAGTTTATTGAAGCTGAGGGGTGGTGAGAAAAGATATGTGGCCTAACTGAAAACAGTGACTGTCTCTGTGTCTTGTACTTGTTGCGGTTGAGCTAGTTTGGAATATTGTTATGCCTATATGAAAATTGTATGGCTATTTGGACCTGTTGTGTGAGGTACATTTTGGTGTTTCATTGCGTTTTGTTTGTTGTGATGATGGAGTGGTGCCGTTTGTTTGTGTATTGGTTGTGTTGTATGCAATCACCACCTGTGTACACTGAGCTCCACTTCTAAATGCAAAAAAAATGAAAAATAAGAAAAGAAAAGAAAGAAAATGATGATAATTAGTATTAATTATGAGAAAAAGAGAGAGAGAGAGAGAGAGAGAGAGAGAGAGAGAGAGAAAGAAAAGATAAAACTACAAAAAAATGTCCCCACTAGGGATGGTGGTGGTTGGGTTAAAATAAAATAAAATAAAACTTGATATTTTTACTTCTAAATGCAAAAAAGTGAAATAAAAAATAAAATAAAATAAAATAAAATGAAAGAAAAGAAGAGAAAAACAAATAAAATAAAATAAAAAAAATGATATTTTTTACTTCTAAATGCAAAAAAGTGAAAAAAATAAAATTAAATTAAAAAAAAATGATAAAATTATTAGTATTAATTATGAGAAAAAAAGAGAAAGAGAAAAAAAAAGAAAAGATAAAATGACAACAACAAAAAAAATGTCCCCACTAGGGGTGATGGTGGTTGGGTTAAAATAAAATAAAATAAAACAAAACAAAATAAAATAAAAAAAATTAAAATAAAATAAAATAAAACTTGATATTTTTACTTCTAAATGCAAAAAAGTGACATAAAAAATAAAATAAAATGAAATAAAAGAAAATAAAAACAAATAAAATAAAATTGAATAAAAAAACTTGATATTTTTACTTCTAAATGCAAAAAAGTGAAAATAAAATAAAATAAAGAAAATGATCAAATAATTAGTATTAATTATGAGAAAAAAAGAGAAAGAGAAAAAAAAGAAAAGATAAAATGACAACAACAAAAAAAATGTCCCCACTAGGGGTGGTGGTGGTTGGGTTACAATAAAATAAAACAAAATAAAATAAAAATAAATTTAAAAAAAACTTGATATTTTGACTATTACTTGTTTTCAGAGTCTTTGTCACCATGTTGTTATTGATAGTGTTTTTATTGTAGTTTTATGTGCTGTATGCTTCTTCTGTGTTTGTCATGTTTGTGTTACGCTGCACCAAAACTGCCCTCCAGGGACAATGAAGATTTACTGAATTTAACTGAATTGACTTGAAACTGGCGACACATTCTACTGATCTCCGTTAGTTGACAAGGCTTTATCTGGTTATGAAATGAGAAGTCAACGGAGTCGCCTGAACTGTGCAGATCCTGCTTTGTTCCTACCTGCTGGGCAGCTAATGCTAACTAACCAGCTGTCTGCAGATATCGGGCAACACAAACAGCAGGAGCAGATGAATCAGTGTGCAGACATTTTTGCTCCTTCTCTGCTTAAATTGATTATTGAACTGGTTTAGACAGTCCGTAGCTGGATGTGATAACCTGTATTTGTTGTCTACCTCCATGCTGCAGGGGAAAAAATCATTAAAATTGTGAATTATCCCCGAGCTTGAAAAAAGGCACAACCGCCAACACAGTGTCTTTAACACAGCATGGTATGTTTTCACCTCTCAGCTGCTTCATTGTTGTGAATATCTCAGCAGGTGTGACTAACAGTGATGTGGACAGTGATCGTGACTCTGTGATGATGAACTCTTGCGTGCACTGCTGCTGGTTGTCATCGTCGTGTCTCTGCAGGAAGCCTCGGGCGTCATTCACACCTCTCACTCTCCCAGATGAGACACTTTCTCAGACACTCTTTTGGGGCTGCGTTCACACAGAGGAACTCGAAAGTGCTTTTAGTTCAGTTTTTCAAGTGATAACTGACTTTCAAGGTCAGGTGGAAAATTATGATGCTTGTACATCTGACGGTGTCAATCAGGAATTTTGTCACTTTAGGGGCGAAGCTTCTCAGAATGCAGCAGGGCAATTCTTTTGAGGGCACAAAGGCCACATGCCAGAGCCTTGACTTAAGAGAGGCAATGATTTCACTTTGATAGACAAATCCATTTCTAAAAGCATCAGTTCCTTTTTAATAAACTGTGTGACACTACTAGAAAAATAAAAACAACAAACATTTAAAAAAAGAAAAAGAAAAATCTACTTCAGAATATTATTGATTAAACTAAAGTTTTAATGCACTCTGATGAGGTATATGATCTTAACACATATTGGGACTTATATTCACATCACATCTACTGTATATGCATGTGTGTACACTCTATGGATTAGAATATATGTAGTTCACATAATCCATTAGAAATTAATATATGTTTTTTTAAATAAAAAATAAAAATAAAATATAAAGTTTATTACGAAATGTGTGTGTCATCCAAGAGAGACAACAAAAACAAATGGAATGGTCAAAGGCTTTATATTTAAATTTAAGGCATGCTCATGCACTAACATCACAAGTATGGTCTGTGTCTGTTCATGTGCCAGCTGAAATGTTGTTGTAGTCACCTAAAAAGTTGTGTTTCACAATAAAAGCCTATTTAGAAAATGGAGGGATTCTTTCAGCCGAGGTTATAAAGGGCTTTTAATTTGAAACAAATTCTGGAAGTGTTGAGTTTGAAATGGCGGCACGATGCATTAACTTTATCAAAGCAAACGGGAGTGGATAAAAAGTAAAAATATAAAAAACACAGAGAGATTAATAAATAACGGCCCTTTTATAATGTAGTCTGTTTCAAATGAAGCTGGTAGCCTCTGCAGTTATGGTGACTAAAAGCCCTGCCACTATTTTTTAATATTGCAATTTATATTGCAAAAAATAAAATAAATCGCAATGTCAGTTTTTTCCAATATCGTGCAGCCCTAATTACACGTAAACGTTCCACCTTAAAAGTTGCCTGAACAGGAGTCAATGCACAAACCTGCTATTTTTAAAAATCCCATCAAGGGAGACTCTCACTTTAGCCTGTTCTTTTTGTTTTCTGAAAATGTCGGTGTGCAACCCTGCTCTGTGGAGAATAAACGAGGTGCAGACGTCCCTCTGCATCACCGGAGAAGAGGAAATACAGTAAGTGCTGGACAGAGCAGTGAGTGACAACAACCCCGCCCACATTCAAGAGCCCTGTCTGCTTAACGGATCCAGAGTCTCGGTACATGTCCGTAAGGGTTGCTTTTGGTTCTAAAGCTACTATACCAAAAGATATTGGTGGAAATTAGGCTTAAATAAGAGACATGAAGTCAGTAACACAAAAGTATCAAAGTTTGCTAACATTAGTAACAATAACTGGTCATGTAAAGCTCAGCAGAACAAACTGAGTGTGAAATGATCCTCCTCAGAAAACAGAAGAGACAGAGGACATGTTCACTACAATCGGCTCAGTTTACAACACTGGGAGATTTAGCATCATCACAGCTTTCCTAAACTGTCCATTCTGGTTCAGTGGCTCAAATGATAAACAAACTGGTCCACATTTAGCGTTTAGCTTCAGGCACCATGAAGACCCTGAGGAGGGGCTAGTGATAGCACTGAGCTACAGCTGTGATCACACGTGTCTGCTTCTGTTTGACTCTTGAATACGGGGTGTGAGCTTAACACACACACACACACACACACACACACACACAACACAGGAGGTGAGGAACAATAATCAATCCTATGACTCATCCAGAGTGGTGGGATTAAAGCTGCATTGTCAGTATTTCCGACGTGCGAAGGCAGAATAGCACCCAGATGACCCAACGTCTGACCAAACTGAGCCTCGCCCACTCTCTGATTCACTTGGACATCTCCATGCATTTACCCTGATGAGAATACAGCGACAGGACTACATGTTTCCAACAGGTCTCAGTGACAGCTTTAAGTGGGTTTCTGGCCAAAATCAATGTTTTGACTGTCAAATCCTCTGTAGACTTGAAAGGTGGCTGTAAAACACTGATTTGTTTCTTGACAGAGAACAGAAGCTGTGCTAAGCTTGGATTTCTCTCATTTACAGTGGATTCCAATATTGACAAGTTGTTACACCTGAAAAATAACACCAATTAAAGCCTATTAAAGCTGGGGTAGGCAGCTTTATTTTGGCAGAAATCCCATAATAGCCTTTCAGCATATTGTAATTCTAGTGGACAAAGAGAACACCAGACCCCTCCTCTAGGCTCTGTTTTCAGGCTTTAGACAATCTAGCCTGTGACAGGAGACTTTGGCCAGGTCAATTCAGAAAGAGTGTTCCTAATGGCTATTCTACAAAAGCTGACATGCATGCACGTCCCTTCAGTGAAAGCCTGATGTAATGGCAGAGAATCCTGCAGAGACAGTTACTTTTCCAGCATTGGCAACAACTGCCTATGCTGCAAAGCATCAAAAAAAAGGAAGACTGACTTATCAAAATGAGTCTAAAAGAGAGTCTGACAATGAACAACATAAAAAAAGGTGTCAATATCGGGGAAGTGTTTCAGATGTGGAGAGAAAATGTTGCTAATAGTTTAGTCTTTTGCTAACCGCAGCTAAAGGCTCACAGCTGCAGCTGTGACAGCAGCTCTGAAGACTGACCCCCAGTCAGTGACTGAAGTAACCCTGAAGCCAGCTAGTGCAAACCCCAGCTCCAGCGGACCATACAGCCCCAACTCCCTGTGAGATCAGCAAACTTTTGGTTGCTGCCATTACAAAAGTTAGATCCAGTGCTGCCGCTGGCTACCAGTTTGCTGTGACACCAAGTGTTGGGATTTATGCTTGCCAAATACAAACCAATGCAAAAGGGAGCGAGGTGAAGGAACCGTGGTATGGCTAGCTAGCTAATTCTTGTCTCATTTGTGGTCTTTTAAACAGAGGTTGAGAGCAGAGCAAGGTAGTACTGAGTGAGTGCACTGCAGGCAACTTTACAATTACATAAGAATAAATCAATGTATGGGAAACACTGGGTTACTGTTTGAAGCGTGCGCATATGCTTGTGGTCGTCTGATGGAAGGGGCTTAAGACAGAGGGGAGCAAGCTGCAGGAGGAGGATGTATTTTCAAGCTCTGCCCTTTTTATTTTGCTTTTTCCAGAAAGTGCCAAAATTTAGGTATAATCACTGAATATGAAGCTACAGCCAGCAGATTGTTAGCTTAGCTCAGCTTAGCTTAGCACAAAGACAGCAAACAAGAGGAAACAGCTAGCCTGGATCTGTCCAAAGTTAAAAACCTGCAATCAGCACCTCTAAAGCTCACTTATTAACATCCTGTATCTCTTTGTTTAATTCCGTACTTAACTGATTCTGTCTGTATGATGCTCCTAGTGTAACTTCAACCAAATAGTTTTTGTGCCCAAACCAAGCAGCAACCTCCAGGGCTAAAATATGAAGTCAACACAAAGTGCCAAAAACTGTGGTTCCTTGAATGGCCACTTGAGTCTGGCTCCAAAAGCAAGTCAATCCCTATAGACCCTCACGTTGAAATGCACAACTTTACAGCGCATCACTGGAGATGCCGCGCTAATCCACTGATCCATCTCACGCTCCATTCTACCCTCACTCATAAACAAGACTCCGAGATACTTGAACTCCCTGACTTGGGTCAGTAACTTGGAGGGGGCAATCCACCGTTTTCCAGCAGATAACCAAGGCCTCAGATTTGGAGGTGCTGACTCTCATCCCGACCACTTCAAAATCAGCTGCAAATGGACTCCTTCCTCCCCTCGGCTGTGCCTGTGTGGCTACATCCATCATTTTATTTAGTCTGTGGCCTTCACTTAATGAAACCACAACCATGACAGTAGCAGCTCAAAAAACAGTCATGTAAATCCTTTGAGCAAGGTTGCTGACATGGATCATTCTGAAAGACAATAACCAACAAACTTGGTCATTTAGTTTGGAGGACTTGTTGATTTTGATATTCAGAAGATAGATTTGGAGTTAAAAGAGGACTCCACTGATTTAGCACTGCACTCCTAAAACATTTTTGGACTCACAATGGACAGTTAAAAGAAAAAAAGATCAAAATCGATGCAGCCGAAACAGAGATATCATACTTTTTATTCCACACGTTCTTCCTTATCTAAACCTGCTGCCTGTATTACCCAATACTAGTGGCTGCCAATTTAGAAACGAGCCACTATCCTGCGGCAGAGATGAAGAGCGGGTTGCAGAGGTCTGGTAAGATCGCTTCTAACTTTCTAACTTCACACTAACATATTTATTTCATTTTCACTTTTGTAGTCTTAAGCTCCAACTAAAGCTGACTCAATTCGTCAGACTTCACACAGCTCCCTTTAAGCATCATTTTAACCTCTAACCTTGTGGTTCCTGACCAAGCAGTCAGACCTCTGGAGAGGTGCAAAATAAACCTGAAGGATCACAGAATTGTTGAGGAAGAAATATGAAAGACAATATAAATATTTTTCTTTGTGGTAATGTTCTCTAACTTTTGCTTTTTATCTTGTAAAACAATAGATGCTTTCACTTCTACAGTACTGAGGCAAAAAGATTGGGAACCATTGCTATAACCTGGGATCATCACCTGCAGAGGCAAAGAACTGCAGTTTTTTTTAGGTTGGCAAACTGAAATAGCAAAGACAGAACTCTGGTCAATAAAAGTATTTGCAGATTTTCCTTATTTTACAATCCATTAATACCGCAGCAATCATGGCACCAGAAACTCACTAGTTATCCTGAGCCATCTCTCCACCGATAACTGATCCCAGGCTATTGACAAATCTGACCCAGGTTTGATCTCCCTGTACAACTTAATATAATGATTGTGACTCAGCCCAGCAGCCACTGTGGGAGAAAAGCAGCAGAAAATCCAGACATGACCTGACCCACTGTTTGTTCTTTGATAAGTACAGCCCAAAGAAAATGCCTGGGCAAATGCCACAGTAGCCATGGTAACCAAGCCTGCATTCCTAGTGCGTAAGGTGAGTGTGTGGAGGTAGGTGTATCAGAAAACTGATATCTAGTTAAGATGTTTTTTGAGATAAATTAGCCTTGATTCAAAACTAGAAACAGAAATATCTCACACCTACACGTGCTGCATGTGTTTCCCTGCTTTTGTTCCTAAAAAACAAAAACAAAAAATCAGACATCACAACTCACCACTCTCTTTTCCCTGAAGTCGATGCCGACTGTGGTGATGAACTTGGGGTTGAACTTGTTGTCTGTGTATCGGTACAGGAAGGTAGTCTTCCCCACACCGGAGTCCCCCAGGGCAAGGAGTTTTATAAGGTAGTCATAATCCCCATCAGTCATAGTGATGACCGCAATAAACCTGTCGGAAAACAGAGAGAGATGCTTGTTAACGTACAGACAAGAAACAAAAGGACAAGAAAAGACAACAGAAGAAAGAAACACTGACATTAGATTTTGAGAAGCTGACGAATAGAAAGCAGTAATAAGAAGGATTTGGTGTGTGTTGTTGCACTACCCACTGTTGAATTATGGAAGTGTGGTCAGAGGGTCGTCCTGACCATAACATGACCTTATGGGAAAATGGTAACTTGGTGGTGGGGCATTAAGTGTGGGTGGGAAAAAGAGGGTGTCTGTATATCTGGGTATGAGAAAGCAGTAGAAAAAGTGATGTCCTGTAAGAAAAAGTGCCGCATGTAAACAAACTCACACATTTTTATTTTTATTTTTTTTTAATTTTATATACTTTATTAACTTTATTAATCCCCCTGAGGGGAAAGTCAATTTTTTCACACATGCACAAACAGGACCTATACATGCACAAAGTGGAGAGATGAGTGAGCAGTTGGGGGGGTTCAGTGCCTTGCTCAAGGGCACCTCGGCAGTGCCCAGGAGGTGAACTGGCACCTCTCCAGCCACCAGTCCACACTCCATATTTGGTCTGGACGGGGACTCGAACAGGTGACCCTCCGGTTCCCAACCCAAGTCTCTATGGACTGAGCTACTGCCACCCCAATATAATTTATCCCTTTACATTATTCCTAAAAAAAAAATCCAGAAACTTGTATTTTTATTTAATAATAAATAAGTGAAAATCACATGCAGTTAAAGGGATAGTTCTGATTTTTTGAGTTATAGTAGATGTTGGTACTCCTGTCTGCTTCTCCAAACATGGGGCAAACCAACCATCACAGAAGCTAAGCAATGTACTGCTCTGGATGGGGGTGAGCAGCAAAATGCATTTTAGACACCTACAAAAAGGTGATAATAACCAATATCAGTGTACGTGGCTGCTATATTGACTATATTTTCACCACTTTGCTTTTTCTTTGGCACTACATTTTCTCAGCTATAGAACATTCCTATTCCCATGCATTAGCACAACTGCTCAGTGCATTGTATTACACCACAGATTAGCGACTGCTGTTACGACCTACACCTACTAACCAACCAACAGAAATGCAGCATGAAATGACGCACTGGTGCTAAACCCAAACAAACAGTTACTCAAACAGGCAAAAGCCACAAAAAGAAATGTGTGGGATTCCAGCTAAGAGGAAAACCTTGCCAAGTTTTGACAGCAGAACTCTTGCCTGTATGATGTGTCCTCCAGCTCTTATGATAGTGTAAAGAAGGACGAAGCATGGAAGGAAATAGCGACGGAGTTGCAGCTACCAGGTTAGCAACCTAGCAGCTAGCAAACACACACAGAGTTTATAGTGCCCACAAAACTTTGGGTTATTTAGTACAGTCTGTAGGAGGCTTATCGCTGACACGTTTGTTCTGACAATGATGGCGCTAGAGGAAAGGTCAGGGGGTCACCAAAGTCACTGGGATTTATCATCAGGAGATCATGAATATCCACAGAAATTTTTACGGACATCTGGTTGTTGAGAGAGGGACAATCCTAACTGAACTGGAACAAAAGATCAACTTTCAGCAACACCAGAGAGAGTACATGATGAACTTAGTCCTCCTAAACATCAGTAAGTGGAGATGTTACTGATGGCACAAAGGAATGCACTTCTCATGTGAGATTCTTAAACCAAGTGTTGTGAGTTGTACTCTGGGGTCTGTTTGCCTCACGGCTAAATGTGGTATATTTAGAGAGACGATCACAAGACTCTAATTCACTCAGCTGAGAGGAAGCACATATAACACTGCGCTTTATTACAGTGAGGACAGTGATTAACCAGGACCTCTGATCTCCTCACAATAACCTCACTGTACCACAGACAGTACCGGGAAAATCAGAGAGACGCTATTCACCAACTGGGCTGGAGCAAAAACAGTGCAACAGATTATTTGACACTCAGTCCTAGACCTGTGCTAGCAAATACACTTCTACCTGCCTTGGAGCTTTTAAACAGATCGTTATTGACAACTGTCATCAGCCAGAATGGTTCTCAGGAGTTGACGGGCTATTTCATTGTCCACTTTTACACATAAAGTGTGAGCTCTCAGGTCGTAGCTTGGTGATCTGACCACAAAGTATAAGCACATAAATTGTGTGAGCTTTGGTTTTACATTTCAGACAACATTTCTAGGACAGGTTTAAATGCACAGTGTAAGGTTGTCTTCATTTATGGGGACACTTTGGCACCACAAACCAGTAATATATGGTTTTTTTTTCTGTTTTCCCTTGCTCTCACACATTTAGCATCCATCAGTCCTGACACTGATGAAGCCCTTTGAGGGTGCGAGGTTGAGGGTGAGACAAGGGGGAGGGGTCGAGCTTATTGATCTGTCGTCATTGGTGGGAAACGAGGAATGTCTGCAGTGTGACCGGTTGGTCAGTCATCATTCCCTGAGGGTGAAACAGTTAACAGCACTTCGGTCAGCTGACAGTAGACAACAGCACAACTCACAGTCACCCGCAGAACGGAGAGTGAAAAAACAGAACAAGATAGAATAGAAGAAGGCAGGGATTTATTTAAAAAATGTGAGTTCATTTTCTAAGTAGTGGTGGAGGGGAAAAAAAAAGATTTAACAGGTCTATTTGATTCTGAATTGACTCACAATTCATCTGGAATCTGCTCTGTGAAAGACATAATGTATATACGTACTATTTGAAAATGCCTCTTGTATAAAGAGCCTAATAATTAAATTAAATTGGCAGATGCACCAACATACAAAGACTTGTCTTCACTGCTCAGGGCATATTTGCATCCACTTGGATGATTTGCATTGACCTTACATGCATGTAGTGGCACAACTATGTAACCGAGAGGCCAAGAGAACACTGAATATGATACATTTATAATGACTTACTGTACACTCAGTTGACATTAGGTACACGAGCTAAAACTAACACAATCTAATACAACAGCCCAGTAAGGAATCCTACTTTCATGAGAGTTATTATGTTCAGTTTTGTTACATCTGTTAAAAGTTGTTGAATCAACTTTGTGGACATTTTTGGAGGCTGTAATTGTGCTGCTGAACCGTGTTGCCTTAGACTGCAGTGGTTCCCCTATATTCTTACAGGCCTCGTGGGCTGCCAGCCTCCCAACCCAGGTCAAAAATATCTTAAAACCTGCCAAAAATAATAACAAATATCCATTCCAGTGTTTTCCTTGTGTTTATTCTACAGCGTCATGAGTCCATGATCAAGGCAAGTGTCTGTAGCAGAGCTTAGATTCTCTGCCCGAGCCCGAGCCCGAGCCCAAGCCCGAGCCGGACCTGACCGACCCGGCAGTAATTTCCCACCACTATCCTCGGGCTCGGACAGGTCGGGCTAGGCTATGGAACCAACTACTTATCACACCTAGGCATGGAGACCTCGACACTTAAGAGGCACATGACGAAGGCTTGCCATGAAAAGAAAGATGAGAGTAAGCATCCAATGTCCACGTTCATATCCTTAAAAAAAACGTCGGGCTGTGGCTTTAAACCGGGCTCGGGCTCATAATTACAGTTAAAGGGACGGGCCGGGCTCGGACAGAACATGCATGGGCTCAGGTGGGGTCAGGCTGGATTTTTTGGGCCCGATAAGATCTAGTCTGTCGTAGTTCACATCTGTAATAACAGCCCGGACAGTGAAGTGTCTGTTATCTAAACTACTGAAGTCCACTGAAGAGTTGAGTATAATTTTAGTAGGCTACAGATTGGTGATGTATCCTAATGTTGGTCCAGCATACGCCGTTTTGGGCAATCACCAGCCTCACAGACATCCTGGGTAGACCTGTGGATCCTGATCAGCTGATCACACTATTTGGTATTAAAGGTTTTGATCTTGTGTTAACTAGATCCCTATTAAATTGGAAGCAGACACGGGCTCCTGCCCATTCTGCCCTCGTGAAGGATGTGATGCACCACCTACGTTTGGAAAAGATCAAATTCTCATTACAAGGGTGTGAAAACAAATTTTACCAGACCTGGCAACCCTTTATAGACCACTTTAAGACCGCTTTTCCTCCCAGCCCCTCCTCCCTTACACTAGACTGAGAAGTGTTTCTAATATTTAGCCTATCTTTAATGATATAACCGGTCAGGGTTTATTGCAGGGCTGTTCAATCAGACTGTATTAAAAACACGTTTGAGGAAATCTGGAAGCCTTTTATTGCATTCCTCATAAATGTAATCGTTAGAGATTACCTGACATAATGAAATATCACCTTTGAGACAAGAACAGCATTTAGAGACTACTTAAATAATCTTTATGCGTTTTTTATTGATTCTTTTTTTGTTTTTCTTGTATATTTATTTTGGCACTGCTGTGTTATTGCTGGCTTTTTTATGTCACACATTCGTCTCCTGTTAGTATAATGTTTTTGTTTTTGTGTTATTGGAAAGGTTCTAGGGAAGCGCGGTTGGGGGAGGAAGAACATCTGTCATTTGTACTGATAAAGGAAAACTAATAAACATTATTTACAACAAAAACAATTAAACTGCATTACTTTTGTCTAGGTGTGCGTAATAAAACAACAACTGAGAGTGTATACTAGAAATTATAGCAACTAATAGAAAAGTTGGTTCACAGCTTTGCTACTATCAGGTTGTGGAGGAAATGTTTCCCCTGGTGTCTGCTAAATCTTCTATCTCAATAACAAGCGAGAACAGAAACATAAAACACAGAGAGACATTAAAAATGCATGAGCCATCACACACAACAGGAGGAGAAGCAAACAGGAAAGAGAATAAAAACAAATAGAAAGAGAAGAGTCTTCAACAGTCCGTCCTGCTGCACAGAGAGGAGATGAGTTTAAGTTTTTATGAGGACACATCTTCAGGATATCAGACCGTCTATCAGGAGGATGTGTTTTGCTCTTTCCCCACTGTTATCCGTCACAACTGTGAGATAAAAACATTTGTCACTGCTTTCAGTCAGACTCTGATACACAAGCAGTCTGCAGCTTCATA